TGGTTGGCCCTGGACTGGAAGGGATGCTATCAATAAGTCAAAGTCGATACAATTTTTTTAACCAATATTTTTATTAAATAGAAGAGTTACATGTTAAAAGCGAGTTCTCATTAAAATTCCTGTTTTAGATCCATGATAAACACTTGTACAGATATATTGGACCCATGTTTCATTAGAAAATTGTTCCTGACGCGCTGCCAGACGCGCATTTTTCTACCACACGGGTTCCTGATGCGCAAAAAGGTTCCGGACGCACTTTAGGCGGACCGCATGGATATCTCGTTATTTTCCATAACAAATGATATAAATGAAAGTATTGGTACTGTGGTAATTTTTCAGAATGCCTTCGTAGAACCATTCGCGATGATTTTGGTATCGATTAATTCCTCTCGCTCTCTGCTATCCACATTTATCAAAAGATGTGATAGAACCCCCCCCCCCCTCCATTAGGAACAATCTTGGCTCAGATAGCAGATGGTGTGAAAAGTACCAGGGAAATTGAGGGGTAAAATATGAATAATATAGACCGAATCAGTCACTATATTGCCTAGTGGAGGGGGCTGTTCCTCCAGTGACCCTCCTCCTGGAACCTTCGCGATGGAATACAGAGAATCCTTCACATATTCATGACAGGGTAGAGCACATGACTAATGCATGATAACCCAGTGCTGAGTCTGTCTCACACTCTTTCACCATGAATACATGAGGATTCTTTGTTTTTCCAGGTGGGGGTTGGGGGCAGAATCCTCCCAATGGGGGGGGGGTTGCTTTTGGCACAGCCCTCTGTATTTGACACTATAAAGACTAATTCTGTGCATATTATTCATATTTTACCCCACAATTTCCTTCCCCCAAATCTCAATGTTGTTTAAGTGTAGGGCACTGGAAATTAGTGCATTTCACGCTTATATGGGGCGAGGTTGGTTGTCGTGGGGTGGGGAGGGGTAGCTAAGCTTAGGAGTATTATGTATGTGTTCTTAGATGTACTAGTGTAAGCTGGTGAAATGTGTCTGCTTTGTTTGAGTATTATGTGTTGTGGGAGCTTATTCCAGTGAGGAATGGTATGTGGAAAGTATGAGCGTTTTTAAGAATTTGTATTGGTGAGGTATGTTATGTATTTCTGGTGTGAGCGTTTTGTGTATTTGTTGTGTCAGCGTGGTGTAGGTAATCTTGTTTGTTTATGTCAATTTGATTGTGATTTTGAACATAGTTGTTAATCTGTGTGCTTGTCTGTATGTTGTGAGGGAGTCCATGTGTAATTGTTTTTTAGTACATGTTGTAATGCCAGTAGTTTTAGAGTTGTTGTTTGTGAAGAACCTGGCTGCTGAGGTGTTAATCTTTTCTAATATCCTAATATTTGTCTATGTGTGTGGGTCCCACATTAAAGCACAATACTCCAGTATTGGGCAGAGTAGTGTATTGTAGGATATGTGTTTAGTGTCTCATCTACCTATTACTCCAGTGACTCCTGGAAAATCCATAAACTTCGCCATATGAACCAAACACCTTATCCTGAGCAGACCCCAAAAAAACTAATATCAACTTGCAACGGATATATCATAGAAGTATCTTATTTCTGGTTATTCTCTTCATTACAGGCAGATTTAATCTTGCACTGCAGGGCTGTGAGAAGCTAAAACTATATCTTTTTCCTTCAGAAATTGATCATAAGAAATTTTATAATACTGTAATACACAATACATTTACACAATGACTGCACTAAGATAGGGAAAGTCTATTAACACTCATGAAGAAAGGTAAAAACTACATTCATTTATACATGAAATAATCTGTGTAGGGAAAAAATAATATCAGAAACAAGGAAAATAGATCATGGCAAATGCCATACAGAGAGTGATGGGGTAAAGATTTAAGCCCCTGATAAGGAAATACAGTGATTGGGTAGGGTCTAGGGGTAAAGCCCCTAGGTCAGGAAGGTTCATATGACAATGTTTGTGGATTCTTGGGACTTTACAGTTAATACTTGTCAAGGTTTTCCTCATATTATATGCTTTACATGTTACTCATTATTTGTATAATGTATTGTTAGCTATCACATATATTTATGAAGACATGTTAAAAATTCTGGACAAGTATAATGCTTGGCAATATTTAGAGGCCCTTTGTAATGCTAGTCCAAAATTTCACAGTATATTTCCATCAGAAACAGAAGTGGGTATGTATGGCATACCACCATGGCTTTTTGGGAACTGGGAACTTTGGCTCATGCAGAGCATACCTTATAATAATACTATAATTTTATTGCTGAGTACCAATGTTATCTCTTTTTTTGCTCTGCAGGTTAGTCTGACAAGTGAGGAACATGAGGTCACAAGGATCGAGCGCATTGGTGCTCATTCCCACATCAGGGGATTGGGCCTCACGGATGAGCTTACTCCTAAACCCTCGGCTCAAGGCATGGTCGGGCAGATTAAGGTAAGCAGAGGAGCCTTCTTTACATGTTTGTTAACATTTTATTTATATATATATATTTTTATTACCATTGCCACATGTTCATAGCTGTTCACCATTTGTACAATTTTAACAAGAATATTTGAATTCTTTTCATCTGCAGGCAAGACGAGCTGCTGGTGTGGTGCACAACATGGTAAAGGAAGGCAAGCTGGCAGGTCAGGCAGTTCTCATTGCTGGCCAGCCTGGCACAGGCAAGACAGCTATAGCTAATGGTCTGGCCCAGTCTTTGGGCCCAGACACTCCTTTCACGGCTGTCTCTGCTTCGGAGATTTACAGGCAAGAACTATCTTTTTTCTGTTTTTTTTTTTTTGTTTTGTTTTGTTTTTTTTGGTGTGTTATAAAAATATAGTAATCTTAGTAAAAATTTTGCCTGTCCTTCCAATATAGTAGGCTATAGAAGATTTTTCTTTTACTTTTTTTAAGGTTTTGATAGGCTCAACAATCCACTGTAGTTTAATGTTCATAATGTAAAATTTGATGTTATTACCTCCGCCAAGGAGGTTATGTTTTTGATGGTGTTGTTTTGTTAGCAGCGTAGCTCAAAAAGTGCTGGCCGGATTTCATCAAAATTTTGGGGACAAGTCAGAAAGGGACTAACTTAGAACTGATTAAATTTTGGTGACATTCCGAATTACCGTCTGGACGCAGCAGCGGTGTAAGTACATTATATACGCACCTTGGCAGAGGTCTGCACACTCTGAGTGCTTTTCTAGTTTGTATCTCTTATATGAAATAACATTCGTTTTTTTCTACAGCTTGGGAATGTCAAAGACTGAGGTGTTAACACAAGCTTTCCGACGTTCCATTGGTGTGCGTATCAAGGAAGAAACAGAAATCATTGAAGGAGAGGTTGTGGAGGTGCAGATTGACCGTCCTGCCACTGGTACAGGAGCCAAAGTTGGGAAGCTCACCCTCAAGACCACAGAAATGGAAACCATTTATGATCTTGGGAATAAGCTTATAGAAGCTCTCACAAAGGAGAAGGTGGGTTGCCATTCCTTTTTATTGTACTTGAATTGAAACTGAATTGATATAGTAGGCTACTTGGTAGTGTTATCTTGGTAATTATTCATGGAATTAGCATTTAGATTTAAACTGTAGTTACTTTCTACTTCCTTACTACATTTTTTTAATGACTTTAATAGCCATTTATGCATGGTTTAAAAAATAAATAAATTCACTAATATTACTACATGGTATCAGGATCTTCTTTTTGGTGAATGGTAATACTTGTAGCTGATTTCAGCTTTCACAAGAGAAGTAGCTATTACAAAAACATTTGCTAATCCAGAGATTGTAATGCTAGAAGAATGTTGAATACATTACCTAGTGATCTTGCAGTGCTTTTATGCACTGCATCTTTTGCCATCACAAAATATCAAGAGACACCTTGAAATCACCAGGTTCAAGCTGGAGATGTAATCACCATTGATAAGGCTACTGGCAAGATCACAAAGCTGGGAAGGTCTTTCACACGTGCCCGTGACTATGATGCTACAGGCCCCCAAACTAGGTAAGAGAGGGTAGTTGAGAGGATATTTTCTTCCCCCTCCCAATTTTGTTGTTATTGTTGTCAGTTATGGAAATTATTGTTTTGATACTGAAAGTTATAGTAAGATTTGTTCATACCTTCTCTACTGAATGTTAAACTCAATTTTTCAGGTTTGTACAGTGTCCAGAAGGTGAGCTACAGAAAAGGAAAGAAGTTGTCCACACAGTCACATTGCATGAAATTGATGTCATCAACAACCGTACACAAGGCTTCATGGCTCTCTTCTCAGGTAGGTGAAGAAAAGATATTTTCTTAAAAGGAACAATTTGTATTGCTGTTTTATGTGAATTCATGATTATGTAGATATTCATTTCAGACTGCAGCACTTTGTGGGTTATAAAGGATATTGCACTTCTTTTAACTTTTGCTTTGGTATTAATGCTTTTTCCCTACTCTCTCTCCCCCCCCCAGGTGATACAGGTGAAATAAAAGGTGAGGTTAGGCAACAGATCAATGCAAAGGTTGCTGAATGGCGTGAAGAAGGCAAGGCTGAGCTGGTTCCAGGTGTTCTCTTCATCGATGAGGTGAGATTACTTCGAGAATTAATTTTTTATGATTTGGTATACTAGTATGAAATCACTCATACACTGAATTAAGTTTGGAATATAGGTCACACTTTTATTGAATATTTTATTCTTCTGTCCCCTAGTATTTTTCATCCTTCAATTTCCAATTTCATTAAAACACTCAATGATCTTCAGGTACACATGCTGGACATTGAGTGCTTCTCCTTTATCAACCGGGCCCTGGAAGATGACATGGCCCCTGTGGTGATTGTGGCTACAAACCGCGGAATCACACGCATCAGAGGCACACGCAACCTCTCTCCTCATGGCATCCCCATTGACATGCTGGACAGAATGATCATTATCAAGACGACCCCATATCAGGAAAAGGAGATCAAGGAGATTCTGAAGATTAGGCAAGTGTAGTATTTTTATTAAAAAGGACTTAAGTGTGTTGATAGTGAAGATTGTGTACATGTCTTTACTGTAGCTAATATTTTTTTTAGGTTGCCCCTCGAGGATTTTCACCTAATCTGATGTTAAATACTGTACAGTTCATGTTAAAAATAACTTTGTCTTCTATAGGTGTGAAGAGGAGGATTGTGAAATTCAAGATGATGCCCTGGTAGTTTTAACCAAAATAGGTCTTGAAACCTCTCTTCGTTATGCCATCCAGCTCATTACTCTGGCAAACTTGGCAGCGATGAAGAGAAAAGAAAAGCAGGTAAGAATCTATTGTTACCTATTTTTGATAGATTAATTTATTTATATTTCAAAATGAAGTGATAACTTTTTATTATTATCTGTATGGTATTTATGTCATACTTGGATATATTTCAATTATTAATTATAATTGTAAAGAAATCTCATTTTCCCATAATTTACTAATCTTATAAAGTAATAATGATATTTCCTTCTGTAACATTATCCATTGTATTTTTTTCTTTCTCTCTTTCTTTTACATTACCCAAAATCACATCATAGAACATATTGAAATATTTCATATGTATGAAATGTAATATTATCAAGTAAAAAAAATGATTTCTTTTCCAGATTGCAATTGTGGATGTGAAGAAGGTATACCAACTTTTTATCGATGAACAAAGATCGCAGAAATTCCTTAAAGAATATGAAGATGAATTTATGTTTGATGAAGGTAAGGTCATTCCTAACTGCTATTTTTTTTTTTTTTTTTTATGAGTAAGAGCTGCATTATCAAGTTTAGTTTTGATGAAGAATGGATAGATAAATAATTCTCTTAAGAGGTCCATTTTAGAAAGAGAGAGAGTCACAGTAGTATTATATAATAATAACCAATAAAGAACATGCCATAATTGAATAAAACAAACTTTTGCAGGTACTGAATCTGCGATGGAAACCAACTAAGCGCAGAAGATTATGCCTCACGAGAGTAGAATTGAAAATAAGAAAGGAGTTCCTTTTATAGGTCATCTCAAAAAAACAAAACATAATATAGCCAGTGTAAATCTCCCACAGAAGTATTCCATTATGTTAAGCTAATCATAAATATATATGTAAAAACCATGAGTGAGTTTCATTTTTCTGCAAGATACTGCTTTTGTGTATGTTTGTGTTTAACTCAATGCTGCAAGGAAAATGCTGTGCTTATTGTATTTATTATTATTTATTTATTTTATTCTATTATTTATTTATTTGTTTTTGTGTGTGTGTGTGTGAAGTATCTCTGCACATAGATGGTTCTGCTAGTACCTAGCCACAAATGAGTCAATTAGTAGACCTTGTGACCATACTTGATTTCACCTTTCCTTGAATTGGCTGGAAATACTTTTGGTGTAACTTTTATTATATAGATTATAGTTACTATAATGTTACTGACATTAATAACAGCAATATGAGATAACAATATTTTTGAAAATCAAGGAAAAGGGTAAACAGGCAAGACAGGCAGTACTTTTAATTGGCTTGTCGGTGACTTCATACAAGTGTAGCCATCTATGTGTAAAACAATTAAACAAGTAAACTCACAGTGGGTGTGGCTCTTATATATGTGTTATATATATTTATGTCATGCCTGTCAAATTTGGGTTAATTTTAATTCATGTTTGAAATTATAAGATTCAAATAATTTTCCATGAACTCTTAATGTTGGTTGATTTTCATTCTCTATGACTGAAGTGTAATTTGTGAAGCATTAGTAAAAAGTTAAGATATAAATATAAATTCTTTGAGGATAAGTTGTGATAGAGATGTGTTCAAATGAAATTAAAAGAATGGTGACAAGTGCAGCAACAGAAATTTGAGTGACTACTGAAATGAGAAAATAACCACATAAAAAAATAAGATAAGAGCCTGAAAGAGCAGTAGAAAAATCATGGTATGAAAAGTTTGTCTTCTTGTCTCCTGAAGTTTATCAACAGAATAGCTAAAACTTTCAAACCTATTAAAAAAAACTAATTAATAGTCTGCAGAAACATTATTAGAAGAAAGACCCATGCAAAATATCAGGAAAGAGGCAGCTGAAAAATGGTAAAACTCTCTTCCATGTTGATACTATGGTAGAAAAACCCACAGTGCATAAACTAGATTTATTGAAAATGAGACTACAGTTTCATCTGGATTCCATCTTCACTCTACTAAAGAGGCAGCTAGAAAAGGGAATTACAACAATGGGAGCTCAAAATTATCAATGGAAATCATTATGGCATTAATTGAGTTAGGAACATATTGAATATGGTTATTAGTATGAAAAAAAATATGAGTGAAAATAGAGAAGTATAACTACTAGAATTTCATTAACTAGTATGAAACAGTATGATCACAAGCCCAATGAAGAGGTCAAAGAAAACTGGAGCAGTGTCTTGAGGTTGTAGGTATTTAGAAATATGGAATCCTGGAACTTTTCTTGTTGAAGAAGGCTTTCATCAAGACAGCCCTAGACACATTTATGCCTGTCACGTACTTGATAGACTCACGATAGATAAACTGATTATTGTAGTTAATTGCAGTTGGCCTTGTTATCATAAAAGAGGTAAAAGGCAAGTTCTAATATAGATAACTGCTTCAAAACAAGCAAGGAAAGAGGAGGGATAAAAGTAAATAAAGGCAAATCAGAAGTTGTGATCAGTGGTAACTAAGCATCACCCAGAAAGTTAAGTTATAGCAGAGCAGAGAATTTAAGTTCAAGGAAACTCTCTCAAAAACGGAGGGTCTAAAAAAGCAAGTTTAGGCTGGAAAAAAAGTGAAAGACAAGGACTGGGTAAGAAAGAACCTAAATAAGAATGGATATATGGAGTATCACATGGAAAAAAATGGGGAAAATAAATGAGTAAAGTAAATGTAATACAGGTGAGAAGGCAAGGAAGACTCATTTACAAGGAGATACAGGAGTGTGGGAAGATTTGAGCATCAAGTAGAATGAAGATGGAGATTAGACAAGGAAAATTGAAGCAGTTGTCCCTACAGTAAATAGTGTTCAGAATAAGAACAAATACACCAAGTCAGTTTAACCCATTGCCGCTGATGAAAATGAATAAAAAATGGCGAAAATGCTGTGCTCATTTCTTATATTTTTATGAAATGTTGGTGGGAAAAACATATCTTTTATTAGTACTATGAATATTGATGGTGTTATTTTTATTATAAACATAATTACTATAATATTATAAACATTAGTAACAGCAAAATAGGATAACGTAAAATATTTTCGTAAATCAAAGAAAAGGGTAAATGGGCGAGACAGGCAGTACTTGTAATTGACCTTTTGTTGTCTTAGTAAAAGTGTAGCCATTTATGTGTAAAAACAATCAAGCATGTAAACTGATAGTGGGCATGGTAAGGACATACGTGACATGCCCATCGGCAATGGATTAAAGGCCTGTCCTGATGATAAAATTAAACATGATAATTTCTTATTTTGTTCTTTTGTATTGCTGCTCATTTATTTTTTATCGGAAATAGGAGACCACAACTGTGGTATGGAAAAATAAATAACATGGTAGTACTGACTGGGAATATCTTTCTGTAGTAACTAGCAATAGTCTGACGTAATTCCAGAGTATGAAACAAATTAGTTAGCTCTCTTTATTGAATAGAATTATTTACTGGCACAAGCTAAGAAAAAGATGGATTTTTGCATCATGTCTGGGAGCATTTTTTATACTTGCTTCTAAGATCTACATTTCCAAATTAACTGTTCCCTATGAATTACATAAACACATTTAGAAATACAGTTGCCCAGGGAGAGAGGATTAAAGCAACACTGCTAATCCCCACATATTCAGATTTTCAAGATTCCGTTAGACTTACAACCAGTATAGTGTTGTCTGAATCTTTGGGACCTTCTGTTTGTTGTTTCTGTGGCTAAGAATACTTATATGTAAATCCTTTCATAACTTGGAGGTAAATCTAGAAAAAATAATCTCAGCATTTGTTTATTTTTATTTCTTCTTGTAATTTCCTTTTTTATAGCTGCCACATGCAAGTTAGTGACAGATGTACATAAATGAACAAATTCTGTAAAAGATAAATCTATTTTATTTAGGATGACCACAAACTAAAGACAATTTTACAGGTTACACTATGTAATACCAATCCCAAGTTGATTTAATCTGCAGTCTGTTTTCTTCATTTTTCTTTCTGCCTTTTTTTCCAATTTGTGAAGAACCAAATAAGACCATTTTAAATACCACTGAATAATTACACGATACTGATACTCAACACACAGACACACAAGACGAGAAACCTTGGCAGTCAATTGGAAGATTTTCAAGATGACTAAATCCTACAAATATTAAATACAAACTGAGAAAACATTTGTACATACATGTGACCCTACAGTATCACTGCTAACTGCACTTGTTACACAGGAGGAAAAAAAAGGTACCAGTTACCAGTCACCACACAACCACAACTCATTTTATACTTAAAAACATGGACTTGCAACACATATATAGTTATTTACTTTTGACCACATTTCTTATTAATTCAAGCAATTCTTAATGATAATGATAATTATTATATCAAAAAACTAACCCAACAATCATTTTCTCTTTATGTGTACTCAAGATAGAAAAAATGCATTATATGATCTGTTTTAAGGAATAAGAATACTTTAGACACTTTTTTTGGGGTATAATTTTGTCTGTCCATTCATCCAGTGTAAACATACCTGTATTTTTTAGTTAAAAAAGAATTCAAGCATACAGTAAGTCCTTAATTGAAATTTCTTGACAGAGCACACATTTAAAAACAACATAAACAACAATCCTCTTATAAATAATATCATGAAAGAAGGTTGAAATATGGTACTTTAATAAAATTACCAAACTGCTCATTGCTGTTAAAAAAATATATTACCACTGTAATTCCTTTTTCACTGCCACTACCTATTTCCAAAGCTTCAAGAATATCTACAACCCACTGACAATTAACCAACTATTGCCTTAAAATACTAAACCATCTTTAAAAAACGAGTTCATTTTCAGGC